ATGATTAGTGATGTTGAACATCTTTTCATGTGCCTATTGGCCATGTGTATATCTTCCTTGAAAAAATGTCTGTTCATATCTTCTGCCCATTTTTTGATCGGCTTGTTTGTTTTCTGTTGTTGTCAGTTGTTGTGTGAGTTCTTTATATATCATGGAGATTAACCCCTTGTCGGATTTATGATTTGCAAATATTTTCTCCCAGCTGGTGGGTTGTTTTTCCTTTTTTTTTTTTTTTTCCGGCTGAGGAAGACTGGCCCTGGGCTAACATCCGTGCCCGTCTTCCTCCACTTTATATGGGATGCCTCCACAGCATGGCCTGACAAGCGGTGTGTCGGTGCACGCCCAGGATCCAAACCCAGGCCGCCAGCAGCAGAGCGCACGCACTTAACCGCTACGCCATGGGACCGGCCCCTAAAGATTTTATTTTTTATGTAAGTGCTATGTACACTTGCTTTAGCAGCTCAGACAGCCTGACAGGCTCCTGAACAAGAGTAGCCCCCACTCCTTCCTCACTCCCGAGTCTCTCTATTGTTAGCCGTTTTCTCTATTGTTAGCCTCCATGTTTCTAAATAAAATACACATCCACTTCTTCTTCATTTCCAATTTTAGACATTATAAATTGTCTTCCTACGACAGAAGATGAAAATTTAACTCACATCTCCTTGCCCTGCACCCTGCTGCCCTTCCCCCACCGCTCTATAAATTATACCACAAGTTTTAGTTAAACTCACGTCCAGTGTTTCCCTTATGAATAAGTAAATACAGACACACCTCATTTTACTGTGCTTCACTTGACTGAGCTTTGCACATACTGCATTTTTAACATATTGAAGGTTTGTAGCAACCGTGCGTCAAGCAAGTCTACTGGCACCATTTTCCCAACAGCATTTGCTCACTTTGTGTCTCTGTGTCACGTTTTGGTAATTCAAGCAATATTTCAAACTTTTTCATTATTATTATATTTCTTATGGTGATCTATGATCAGTGATCTTTGATGTTACTACTGTAATTGTTTTGGGGCGCCACAAACTGAACCCGTATAAGACACCAGACTTAATCAATAAATGTGTATGTTCTGACTGCTCCACAGGCTGGCTGTTCCCGTTTCTCTCTTCCTCTCCTCGGGCCTCCCTGTTCCCTGAGACACAACCATATTAAAATTAGGCCAATTAACAATCTTACAACGGCCTCTAAGCGTTCAAGTGAAAGGAAGAGTCACGTGTCTCTCACTTGAAATCAAAAGCTAGAAATGATTAAACTTAGTGAGGAAGGCATGGCGAAAGCCAAGACAGGCCGAAAGCTAGGCCTCTTGTGCCAAACAGCAAGCTATGAATGCAAGGGGAAAGTTCTAGAAGGAAATTAAAAGCGCTACTCAAGTGAACACATGAATGGTAAGAAAGAAAAACAGCCTTACTGCTGATATGGAGAAAATTTTAGTGGTCTGGATAGAAGATCAAACCAGCCACAACATTCCCTTAAGCCGAAGCCTAATCCAGAGCAAGGCCCTAATTCTCTTCAATTCTATGAAGGCTGAGAGAGGTGAGGAAGCTGCAGAAGAAAAGCCTGAAGCTGGCAGAGGCTGGTTCACAACATTTAAGGAAAGAAGCCGTCTTCATAACATAAAGGTGAAGGTGAAGCAGCAAGTGCTGATGTAGAAGCTGCAGCAAGTTATCCAGAAGATCCAGCTAAGACAATTAATGAAGGTGACTACATTAAACAACAGATTTTCAGTGTAGATTAAACAGTCTTATATTGGAAGAAGATGCCATCTAGGACTTTCATAGCTAGAGAGAAGTCAATGCCTAGCCTTAAAGCTTCAAAGGACAGGCTGACTCTCTTGTTAGGGGCTAACGCAGCTGGTGACTTTAAATTCAAGCCAATGCTTATTTACCATTCTGAAAATCCTAAGGCCCTTAAGAATTACGCTAAATCTACTCTGCCTGTGCTCTACAAATGGAACAACAAAGCCTCGATTACAGCACATAGGTTTATAATGTGGTTTGCTGAATATTTTAAGCCTACTGTTGAGACCTACTGCTCAGAAAGAAAAATCCCTTTCAAAATATGACTACTCAGTGACCATGCACCTGGTCACACAAGAGCTCTGATGGAGATGTACGAGATTAACGCTGTTTTCATGCTTGCTAACACAATGTCCATTCTGCGGCCCATGGATCAAGGAGTAATTTCGGCTTTGAAGTCTTATTATTTAAGAAATACATTTCATAAGGCTATAGCTCTCATAGACAGTGATTGCTCTGATGGATCTGGGCAAAGTAAATCAAAAGCCTTCTGGAAAGGATTCACCATCCTAGATGCCATTAAGAACATTCATGATTCATGGGAAGAGGTCAAAATATCAACATTAGCAGGAGTTTGGAAGATTGATTCCAACCTTCATGGGTGACTTCGGGGGGTTCAAGACTTTAGTGGAGAAATAACTTCAGATGTGGTGGGAATCGCAAGAGTACTAGAACTAGAAGTGGAGCCTGGGGCCAGCCCGGTGGCGCAAGCGGTTAAGTGCGCGAGCTCCGCTGTGGCGGCCCAGGGTTCACCGGTTTGGATCCTGGGCGCGCACCGATGCACTGCTTGTCAAGCCATGCTGTGGCGGCATCCCACATAAAGTGGAGGAAGATGGGCATGGATGTTAGCCCAGGGCCAGTCTTCCTCAGTAAAAAAAGAAAAGGAGGAGGATTGGCAGATGTTAGCACAGGGCTGGATCTCCTCACAAAAAAAAAAAAAGAAGTGGAGTCTGAAGATGTGACTCAATTGCTGCAATCTCATAATAAAACTTTAATGGATGAGGAGTTGCTTCTTATGGATGAGCAAAGAAAGTGGTTTCTTGAGATGGAATCTACTGGAGAAGATGCTGTGAAGACTACTGAAATAACAACAACGGATTTAGAATATTACACAAACTTAGCTGATAAAGCATCAACAGGGTTTGAAAGGATTGACTCCAATGTTGAAAGAAGCTCTACTGTGAGTAAAATGCTATCAAACAGCATCGCATGCTACAGAGAAATTGTCTGTGAAAGGAAGAGTCAACCGAGGCAGCAAACTTCACTGTTGTCTTATTTTAAGAAATTGCCACAGCCACCCCAACCTTCAGCAACCAGCACCCTGATCAGTCAGCAGCCATCAAGATTAAGGCAAGTGCCTCCACCAGCAAAAAGATTACGACCCACTGAAGGCTTAGATGATGGTTAGCATTTTTTAGCAATAAAGTATTTTTCATTTAAGGTATGCACATTGTTTTTTTAGACATAATGCCATTACATACCTAATAGTCTGCAGTATAGTATAAACATAACTTTTATATGCACTGGGATACCAAAAAATTCATGTAACTCGCTTTATTGTGATCTTTGCTTTATTGTGGTGGTTTGGAACCGAACCGCAACCCCTCCAAGATTGGCCTATACTGTTGACGGCTGAGCTGCCTTGTGCACTCTAGTTGCGTCTGTTTACTCAATTAAGTCCCCACACCCAGAGTCCATGGTTTTCTCATTGTTTTACTTAGCTTTGTACTTATCTCCTAATTTCTCCCAACCTCTGTGACTATAAAACTCTCCTGGCTCACTGATGCCACCCCAGGATCCCTCTGCCCCCACCGCAGCTCTCCTCCCTATCATACTTGTCTCTAACACCTCTAGACAGGGAGACCACATACCTTGTCACCAAACAGGACACACTTGGGAGTGAGAGGGTGAAAGGGATGGGGCCATTAAAGGTGATGCTGAGACAACAGGTATTGACCAGGCCCATCTGACCTTCCACAGATGATCTCCATGGCCCTAAATCCCTGGCTCCTCCACAAACAAGTCCCCTGATGCTATCTAGAGCTTCCACCAAGTGTCGGCAGACACCCCTGGTCAGAGAGGCCCTGACTGACTGAAGTGACATGGCCACAGGCACTTCCCCTCATCACTCTGTCCAGCTTTATTTTTCTTTTAAGACAAAGGTCAGCAAAGAGTTTCTGTAAAGGACCAGAGAGTAAATATTCAAGATGGTCTATGTTGCAACTCAACTCTGCCCTTGTAATTGCAAATGGTGGCTACATTACAATGAGATTTTATTTGTGGACAACGAAATGTGAATTTGATATCATTTTCACATGTAACAAAACATTATTCTTTAGATTTTTTTCAACCATTTAAAAAATGTAAACCCATTCTTAGCTTGCAGCCATAGCGCACTGACTCTGTTCTAAGACTCGACTACCACAGGCAGTCTGGCTCCCTGTGGGACACGTGAGCACCTGAGGGCTGTCCCATCTGTCCTGACTCCTGCTGTGTCACTGGCCTGGCTCTCCCTCTTTGCAAAGCCTGCTCCGACCCCGGAACAGCACCCTTAGAGCTGGAGGCTGGGTCCACTCTGTCCTCCCATCATCCAAGGTCCTCTGCTCGCTCACACTTCTCTGTCTTCTCCCCAAGCCCCTGCCACACCACCCCTTCTGTCATTTCCTAACATCCTGGCCAACTGCTGAATGGACATTTTAGGAAAAACTTTGAGAATGGTCAGTACCACTAATGACATGACATATTTCCTCTGAGCCCAAGACCCCAGAGCGAAGCATTTCCCACGGTCAAGCGGTCAGATGCCTCCCATTTCTCCTAACTGGCCACTGCACCAGGCTGTGACCTGCCTCCTGCTGCTGGTGTAGCCCCATTCAGTCAGGCCTCACACTGAAATTCTGTCTGCCTCTCTGTCATGGGATCACTATTCTCTTTCAGCACATTTTCACTCAAAACACTCTGACATACAATATAACCTACTACCATTCAGAATGAGAAATCACATATACAAGAGATTTCAAAATCTTAAACATCACAAAAACAAACCCCACATGAGTGGCCTCCTCACTTCTCAAGTGGGGTAAATGTTTAAGGTCAGCTTCTCCATCAGAAAACCCTGGTTCTGGCCGTCCTCCAATAGTGCCCACTGCCTCCCTGCAGCACTGCCCAGCACTGGGCCCCGGTCACAGCCTCAGTACATACTTGAAGCGGACCTTCTCTTCCATGTCCAGGGGCGGGTCCTGTGTGATGAGGCTCACCAGCTCCTCCATACACTGCTGCCTGCAGAGGAAGTCCAGCAGCTTCCGGTTCTGAGCCTTGCACTCTTGTAAGATGTCATCTTCGTCCATCAACTCACGCAGTGTCACATCCTCCTTATCCAGAAGCTTGTCAACGTGGGACGTGGTGTTCAAGTCAAACTTCCAGAACATGATGACAGCCACAGAGCTACAAGCAAAGACAAGAAGGTCAATTCTCTCCCCACCAGTGTGAATCCATCCTCAGCAACTCTACACCAAAGTCCATTCCCAGCATGAGCCTGAGCTAGAGAGGGCAGTTTCCCTGATAACTGCTCTGACCAGGGTTGGGCTCCAAAGTCAGTGGGGACTTCTCAGCTCCCCTGAAGCTCAGGACCCATTGCCTTCTCTCAATTCCACTCTGGCTAACCTACCTTCCTGACTTTCCTTTCCCACCCCCAGTGCGCGACTTTCCTTTCCCACCCCCAGTGCTCGACACGCCCCCAGTGCTCTCACTCACTCCTTGGCTCCCTTAGACCAACACGTCCTCGTGTCTCCCATGTGTGTCATGTCCACACCTGACTGACCATCTCATAAAAGAACACAAAACATCTCACAGAATACAACCTCAGTAAGTCAAACTCATGACAGCTTGTTTTGCTTGGCCCTCCCCTCCTCTGCCACCCCCCAACCACCTGGCCCCTCCTTCTACTGTCCCCATCTTGCTGAATAACTCAGGGTTATCCTTGAAGCCACCACCTCCCTCACATGTACACTGAGCGTTAGGTCTTGTCACAGCTACCTGAGAAATGGCTACTGACCCCAGCCCGTCCTCTGCATTCCACACCAACCACTCCAGGCTCTTGCTTCTTTGCCTGGACTATACAAGGTTTATCCCACTCAAGTGGAACAAGTGAGTTTCGTATGTCAGTCTTTGGGCCTAGGCTGGTTTGCAACAAAGCTTTCAGTGTTCTACGCAAAATGAAAAACATAAAACCCTTACTTTTAACAAAGTTAAATCTGTATTTTGAGATTATGAATCTTTTCAATGTTACATGAATCATTTTTTTAAAACTATGGTAAATAGTACATGGGATTTACCTTATCTAATACTTTTACTTAGAAGAGTAAAAGACTACCCACATGATGCAAAACCCCAGGTTTGTCTGTATGTGAAGCCCAGCTGCCCTAGGAGACCCTGACACAGGCTCCTTGGCTGTCCATTCACACTCCCACCACTCTTCATAGCCTCTTGTCTTTGCTGTGTCAAACCCACTTTTCCAAAACACAGACATCTTCACATTCCTCTCATCTCGGCTTCAAAACCTCCACCAGCCCCAGATGCCCACCACTCGGCAGGCTGCTTGTTACAACGTGCCTCCAGTCCTCTGGGCATTTTCTGCTGTCTCCCTGACCCCATCCTCGCAACAAGGACGCTGCATTTTTCTTCCAACACAAACTGCACTTCCCTACCTTTATCCTTCTGCACACGCTCTTGTGCTCAGACAGTGCCTCCTCAGAAAATACCACCCACCCTGCCAGACTGAGCAAAGGGCAGGGCCTGGACTACCCTGGGCCTGCACCTGCACATGCTGCAAGGCACTCAGAGGTTGAGCTGCTTTGACTTGCAGTGCAAGGGACTCCACAGACTGACTCTGCACTGAGTTTCCTTCTGGGTACTAAGATCTCCCTTATTTCTCTTGTGAGGAGTGTGGATGGACATTCGTGGATAGTAGCAACAGACTTCAGGGGACAGAAATAATAATTACTAGAAGTGCTTTCAGGGAAAGACAGCTGTCCCCACCCACACATCAGATGCCTCTCCTTCCTAAATGCCCTACAGAATGACTCAGACACTTGGATAACACACAATCCAGGGAAAGAGGGGAACCAGAGGGAGACCCCACCTTACCAAGGCTTTTTTCCAAACAAGAACTTACAAGACAGGGCAGCTAGAGGTGGCTTCTGTGCGTACTGCTTCCAGCCATAGAGTGGGTGAGTGGCTGGGCGGACCACAAGTTACCAGCAACGAAATAGGATGAGATTTTCTAGCAGGATCCTAAAAAAGGACTGGATTAATCCAAAAGAAGACAAAAAAAAGCTGAGGAAATAAACAACAAAAACAGATAGACAAATGGAAAAGAACCGCAAGATAACAGACATAAACTCAACCATATCAGTAAGTGTATTAAATGCAAATGTATTAATAATTTCAATTAAAGACAGAAATGGTCAGACTAGATTTAAAAAAGTAGGAACTCATTATATAATAAGTATAAAAAGCTTACTTTAAATATAAAGACACAGGTTAAAAGTAAAAAAAACCAAAAAGTTAAAAGAATGGAAAAGGATACACCATGCAGGCACGAATCACGAGACAGGTAGAGCGGCTACATGAATGCTGGTCTAGGTTCTCTCCTCGCAGTGCCTTTGTCTGCCCTGGGCATCAGGGTAAATGAGCCCTCATGAAGCATGCTGGAAAACAGTCCCTCTCCCCGCATTTTCTGAGTTTACATAAGATCGGTACTACTTCTTCCTAAAATGTATGACACAGCTCACCAGTGAAGCCAAGGGTCTAAAGTTTTCTTTGGTGATGTTTCAAATTATGAATTCCATTTCTTTAACAAGTATTTTCTATTTCTACTTGTTTCCATTTCAGTAATTTGCTTGCTTGAAGGCATTTGACCAATTTATCTAATTGATGAAATTATTGTCATGAACTTGTTCATAATGTTACGTTGTTATTCTTCTAACATCAAGCAGGGTTTGTAGAAATGTCCCCTCTTTCATTCCTATAGATCAGTAATACCTGTCCTTTCCTCTTTTTCTTCATCAGTGCTACTAAAGGCTTATTAATTTCATTGATCTTCTTGAGGAACCAGATTTTGGTTTTATTTTTTTCCCCTCGTATTTGTCCACATTTTATTTCACTGATTTCCTCTTTTGTCTTTGTAATTTTATTCCTACTGCATATTTTGGGTTTAATTTGCTCTTCTTTTTCTAGCTTCGTAAAGTAGAAGCTTAGAACTTTGATTTTTAGACCTTTCCTCTTTTTCCGTTATAAGCATTTAAAGCTACAAATTTTCCTTCAAGCACTGCTTTAGTTGTACTCCACAGATTTTGATGTTTCCATTTTCACTGAATTCAAGATATTTCTAATCTCCCCTGTGATTTTTTTTCTTTGATTTATAGGTTATTTAGAAGTATAATGCTTAATTTTCCTATTATCTTGGGATTTTCTAAATATCTCTTTGTTATTGATATCTAATTTTTGTTGTGGTCAGAGAGCAGGCTTGTATGATTTCATTCTTTTAAAATTTATTGATATTTGTTTTATGGCCTAGCATAGGAGTCAACAAACTTTTTCTGTAAAGAGTTAAATAGTAATTATTTACAGCTTCATAGGCCATATAGGGTCTCTGTTGCATGTTCTTTTTCTTTTTTTCTTTCTTCTTCTTAACAACGCTTTAAAAACATAAAAACCATTCCTAATCTGCAAGCTGTACAAAACCAAGCAGTGTGCTGGATTTGCCCAGCAGGCTGTAGGTTGCCGATGGCCTTGCATATGATACGGTCTGTCTTGGTGAATGTGGCATGTGCACTAGAAAATAGTTTTTATCCTGCTGCTGCTGGGTGGGTTGAAGTCAAGTTGGTTGATAATGTTATTAAAGTCTTCTATATCCTCACTGATTTTGTGTCTATTTGTTCTATCAATTAATGATACGGGAGGGCTGCAATCTTCTACTATAACTGTGGATTTATTTATTTCTCCTTTTCATTCTGTAAATTTTTGCTTAATGTGTTTTGAATTTCTTTTATTATGTGGATACATATTTAGGATTGCTATGTCTTCTTGATGAACTGCCTCTTTGATCATTTTCAAATGTCCCTCATTATCTCTGGCAATATATTTTGTCTTGAAGTCTGCTTTATAATATAAATATATTAATAATTATGATATTAACATTGCATACCATTATTAGTATAGCATACCATTATGCTAATATAGTATATCATTCTTGTGGTTCATATTTGGTATAACCTGTAACATCCTTTTACTGTCGACCTATTTGTGTCTTTATATTTAAAGCGTTTCTTTTGTAAACAGCATATGATTGATTGGTTCTTGTTTTGTTATTCAGTCTGTTATTCCCCGCCTTTTAACTGAAGTATTTGGACCATTTACATTTAATGTAATTATTACTATGGTTGAGTTTGAGTAATTTGAAAAAATACAACACCCTTTTATGATAAAAACACTCAATAAATTAGGAATAGAAGGGAATTTCCTGAATCTGATAAAGGGCATCTACTAAAAAACCTACAGCTATCAGCATACTTAATAGTGAAAAGACTGAATGCTTTCCTCCTAAGATTGAAACAAGAGACTCTAACCACTTCTATTCAAGATTGTAATGAAGATCCTAGGTAGTACTATAAGACAAAAAAAAAAGAAATAAACACATACAGGGACTGGCCTGGTGGCGCAAGCAGTTAAGTGCGAGCGCTCCGCTGCAGTGGCCCGGGGTTCGCAGGTTCGGATCCCGGGTGCACACCGACACACTGCTTGTCGAACCATGCTGTGGCGGCGTCCCATATAAAGTAGAGGAAGATGGGCACGAGTGTTAGCTCAGGGCCAATCCTCCTCAGCAAAAAGAAGAGGATTGGTATCAGATGTTAGCTCAGGGCTGATCTTCCTCACAAAAAATAAAAAAGAGAAAGAAACACATACAGATTGAAAAGGAATAAATAAAATCATTTTTACTCACAGACGAAATGATTGTATAAGCAGAAATGCCTAAGAAATCTACAAGGAAAAGAGCTACTAGAATTAATGAGAGTGAATTTAGCAAGCTTACCAGTTACAATGTCAACATCCAGAAAGTAATTGTATTTCTATGTACCAGCAATGAACAACTGGAAAATGAAATTTTTAAAAATTCTATTTACAACATCCAAAAACACAAAATATTCAGGATAATTTAATAAGATATGTGCAAGACCTGTACACTGAAAACTACAAAACACTGCTGAGAAAAATTAAAGAAGATTTAAATAAATGGAGAGATATACTATGTTCATGGATTGGAAAATTCAATATTGTTAAGACATCAATTATCCTCAAACTGGTCTATTCATTCAATGCAATCCCAAATTTTATCAGATTTTTTAAATAGAAATTGACAAGCTGATACTATAATGTATATGGAA